CTCGCGGAGGAAGTTGCCCAGTGCGCGGTGCAGGTCGGGCACAGGGGGCCAGAGCTTCTGCTTCAGGTTGCTGGGGTGCGGGGAAGGGGCGTCAGAAGGGAAACTCCGGCTCCGGGGTGCCCTGACGGGGCAGGGTGCTCAGGCCTCGTGCTGGGCCCCCTCCACCCGCCCTGGGCACGGCCCTTACCTGTAGAGGGAGGGGAAGGTGCACCGCAGCCCCAGGAGCACTCCTGTGAAGAGCAGCGGCACCACCGTAACACTGGGGATGATCCAGCCTGCGGCAGAGGAGGAGCTGCTGGCACTGTAGCCCACCCCAGTCCCGGTGCCACGGAGCCCTTCACAGCCCTGCTGCCCTTGGCCTGGCGCTCCCCATCCCATTTCCAGCACACTCAGTCTCCTGCCCTCGTCTGTGTGGCTCCTCTGGCCACAGCCTCTTCTCCTGCCTCGTCCCTTACCCGCATCGGCTATGGCGTCAGCCACGACAGGTTCTGACCAGGGGCTCCAGCTGCCCTGGTACCACGGCCCACTGGGCTGGGCCCGCACCTGGGCATGGTAGCGGGCACCTGGCCGTAGGTCCAGGACTTCTTTCCTGGCTGCACGTGGGACCTGCAGGACCTGTGGGGCAGAGCTGAGCTGGAGATGACAGCTGGTGCTGCATGTGGCCGAGGGGCAGCACTGGGATAAGGGTCCATCCTGCACAAGCCCATGTGGTCCACGTGCCAGCAGCAGAGGTGGGCAGAGCTGCTTGGGGAACCTCTGGCTGTGACTTACCTTCCAGTCATGGCTGTTCTCCACAGCATAGCGGACCTGGTAGTCCATCTGCTCTGCCAGCGCCTCCAGGGGTGGCAGCCACTGCAGGCTCAGCCGGCCCTGCGTCATGGTTGCCTGCATGAGCTGCGGGGCGTCTGTGAGCACTGTTGGAGACAGGGGTATGTTGCTGCTGTGGAGTGGGACATGGGATGGGGCATCCACTGCCAGGCATGCATTGGCAAGGGCCACAGTGGCATTGGGACTCACCGGCCTGGTGCAGCCAGAAGGGCTCCTTGAAGTAGCTGAGCGTGGGTAATGTGTGGGACTGGGTGATGTTCACCAGGACAGAGATGGCTCTGCCAGCCCTGGGCTGGAAGGTGCAGGCGTGAGTGCCCTGTGCCCCCACGCTCACCTCCTCACACTGCTGCCACGCATCTTCCCTGTGCGAGGAGTGGGGAACCAGTTAGCCCCACCGTGGTGGCCCTGCTCCCCTCTCCCGCTGCCAGTGCTGCCTTGCTCTTCCTGCACTTGCCCAGGAGAGCCAGTGCTGCCCGTGGTGGGAGGGGCAGTGAGGCCAGGAGTGGTGGTGGGGAGGTGTGAGGTCGATGGTGGAAGGGCAGGGTGCAGGGCCAGGTGGCACACTGTGGTATTTGGGATACTGAGCAGGGCTGGTGGTCCCTGGGATGTGCTGCTGTGTCCCCATTGTGGCCCTTACCTTGCGCTGGCCCCACTTGGAGGTGTCCGGTAGAACAGCTGGTGGAAGCCACGGGGCTCTTCGGGGTCCCAGCTCCACTTGCAGTGCACGTGCTGTAGGTCAGGGGTGCTGCAGCACAGCCCGATGTCTCCTGGGCAGGCGAGAGCCAGGGCAGGGAGAGGGCTGCTTCCCTCTGCCCCCCCAAACCTGGGTGCTGCACCTCACCTACCCCAGGACCCCCACCCCTCACAGATGCAGGCCTGAGTGCCTCCTCGCTGTGCTGCCAGCATCCCGGCGGTGGGGGTGGTCACTCACCAGAGGAGTGGGGTCCGCGGCGGCCCCTGCCTGCGACCAGGGCCCCCAGACGCCGTCCATGGAGGTGCCGTCAGGCTTGCTGCGCACCTGGATGTGGTACCTCACCCCCGGCTGCAGGTTCTGAAGGACCACCCAGGTTTTGGCTTGGACCAGCCCCTGCAGGAGAAGGACCAGGCTGAGGAGCGACTGTGGCCCCCAAATTCCCCAGCCCATCCCTGCCCCCTCTACGTACCTGCCCGGCTCCCAGTGCAGCTGTGGCTGGCCCTGCCACGGGTGTGTGGGTGGCGGCACTATAC